ATTCATTTTGAAAACAGCACTTCTATCAAATGTATTGAAATATTTCTTAATTGTAAGAAATATCTCTTAAAGAAAAATGTATCTCTCAGTCTTAGGAAATCTCTCAAAAGAGAGATTTTTTGAAATGTGATATCTTTGCTAAATAAAGAAATCTCTCGGTGATAAAGACATACCTCTACTTAAATTAGAGGCCTAAGGGCCTGAGTATGATCACCTGAGTATAATACAATACTGTAAATGGTCTATATATGATTGATTGATTGAGTGTCGTTTAACGTCTCGATCGAGAATTTTTCACTCATATGGAGATGCCACCACTTGCCGGTGGAAGGCTACAAATTTTGACCTATACTCGGCACTCAGAACCATTGATCTTTTTCGTGCCAGCACCTACTGCGACACGGGACCTCGATTTATACGGTCTCATCCGAAGGACCGGTCTCCACGTCCCGCAGTGGGATTCGAACTCGCGACGTAAGGATCAACTCCTTACTCCGCAACTCTAGAGCAGACGCTCTAACCACTGCGCCACGCGGGCGACCAGGGTCTACATATGTATTAAAATTAAAACAAAATAAACTGATAGATGAAGATATGTTGTCTGAAAACAAGAGAAACAGGATAATCAAGGATCAACAAAATAGGTAGTCTAGAACTCGGGAATTGTTCGAACGTAGAGCACGTTCTTGGGTATAGAATCAGCTGGGAGACATATATTCCATATGCAGAAGAATTTATCTGCTTAATATCCAGAAGCAGAAAAGATTTTCAAAGAAATAATGCATATCCACTATATAATCAATAGAGTCGTGCCCTTACACTAAAGCCACTGATCCAGGGTCCAAGAAATTCACATTTATGGAGTAGGCACCCTTGCTCATCACAACCATGCACTTAGTTAATCTGTAAATACCAAAGAACTGAATAGATTTTCAAAGATTTAATAAATTTCCACTATATAATCAATAGACCCGCGTCCTAACACCAGAACTTCTGCCCCAGTGGCCATAAAATTACAATTTTGGAAGAGGCACCCTTGCTCATCATTACTATGCACTTCGGTTGGTTTGCTTAATACTTAAGAACAGAGAAGATTTTCAAAGAAATAATGCATTTTTACTATATATTGAAAAGAGTCCTGCCCTAACACCAAAATCAATAAGCCAAGGGCTGTGAATTCACAATTTTGGAAGAGGCATCCTTGCTTATAATAATAATATGCAATTATCTGCTTAATACCCAGGGGTGAAGAAGATGATTTTAAGGAATTTATGAATTGTCACTATATGATTTTAATTTAAACAATATTTTATTATGTAAAGTCACTGGATTGGACATCAGGGGTTGCCTATATAAATCCTCTCCAAGAAGGTCAAGATCACCATATTATTAATAGAGCCCGCCTGAAAACCAAAACACCTTACCCATGGGTAATGAATTTCATGATTTTGGATTAAGCACCCAGGAGAAGAGAAGACGATTTTCAAAAAAATTAATGCAATTTCACTATAAAATCAATAGAGTCCTGCCCTTTGACGAGAACTCTTGACCCAGGGGCCACGAAATTCACATTTTTGAAAGAGGCACTCTTGTTCATCATAACTTTGCACTTAGTTTGTTTGTTTAAAGCCCAAGAGTGGAGAAGATTTTCAAAGAAATGATATATTAGTTTCACTATATAATCAATAGAACCCCCCTCCCAACACCAGAATCCCTGACCCTGGAGTCACAAATTTCACAATTTTTCAAGAGACACCCTTGTTCATCATAAACATATACTTATTTTACCTGCTTAATGTACAGTGGGAGAGAAGAAGATTTTAAAAGAATTTATTCATTTTCACCATATGATTAATAGAGCCCTACTTTAACTACAAAGCCCCTGATCCTGAGGCTATGAATTTCACATTTTTTGTAAAGGACGCATTGCTTGTTATCATCAGCAGTTTGACGTCCAGGAGTAAAGAAGAATTTAAAAGAATGCATAATTTTAATGGTTTTAGCCCCACCCTTCAGGATCAAGGAGAAGGATCATGAAGTTCACAATTTTTGTTCCCCGTAGATTCTATATGCCAAAATTGGCTGAAATTAGTTTAACAGTTGTTGAGAAGAAGTTGAAAATATTAATAGTTAACGACCTACACACCACGCACGACGACAGACAAAAAATAGCTATAGGTCACTTTAGTGACTCAGGTGAACTAAAAGGCATCTGACAAGGAGCATACGGCGGGTGTGACCGGTCGGCAGGGGATGCTCACTCCTCCATGGCACCTGATCCCACCTCTGATGTTTGGAGGTCCGTGTTTGCTCTGCTCCTATTTTGTATTGATTAATGGACTTTTGAGCTTGAATACTGTTCGTTATCTCCATACATTTCATGTTACTAGTTGAGATATTTGCTTAGAAATATCACGTGGATAGTTAAGGTATGTCAGTTTTTAAGAACAATTTGGTCAGAACCTCTACTTCCAACCATTTACATGTATTACAATTCAATTTTTATAACATATTTAAATCAAAAAGAATTTAAAAATTGGTCACAAAATCGTAAAGAAACAAGATTTATTGGGGACTATTTCTTGTAACGGAAGGATATTAAGAAGAAAATTCTTCATATCAAATATGGAGATAACGAACAGTAATCAAGCTTAAACGTCCATAGAAAAAATACAGATCAGGAGCAAAGCAAACACGGACCTCTAAAAACATCATAGGTGGGATTAGGTGCCATGGAGGAGTAAGCTTCCCCTGCCGACCGGTCACACCCCTTGTCATGATAGGGAAAACTGAAAAATCCGTAGACAATTAAATGTGTTAATAATGGCTATCAATTAGTATGGAAAATGTAAGTCAGCATTCGACTTAATAATACATTTTATTTGCAGACAAGGTCATTGTATCGACAATAGAACTTGCGAAGTGACTTTAAACGAGACTGTTGATATTCTTGTTTCATCAACTTGTTATTCAGTAGCTTGTCTTGTTTTAGAAATATTATTCGTACGTAGAGCATGCTCTTGCATATCGAATCAACTGGGAGAGATAAACCCCATATGCAGGTGATAAGGGTACTACTTAATTAAGGGAAGTTGACGATAGAAAAGTTCAAGTCATCACGTTTATCATAAAGTTTTGTTGTTAGGTTACCATTAACGTCTTTTTCTAGTACTTAAAATATCCAAATATGAAACAGTTGTGTCAGACTCTGTGGTATCTTTTATTTCAAGTTCACTGGGATATATCGAGTCGACATATGCATGAATGGAAGTGTTTATTATAATACGTCGTCGATAAATCTAAATGTCGAGTCAAAGTCCACAGCAAGTGTTTCTTCTTCTCTTCATGTACAAGTTTTTGAATAAATTTTGCTTCATATGAATACAAAAATAGGCCTGCTTATCTACTTTTTTAAAATTTAAAATTTTGGAACTTAGGCCCTACATATTTTTGCTCAGATAATTTTTTCTTTATTATATGTAAAACAAATTTTAAACATTCTCTCAACAGACTCTGTCAAGAAATGAAGATATAGGCCTATTGACGAAGTCAAGATTACATTGTGTTTTCCCGAAAATTGAAAATATTGACCAATGTCTCAAAATTTACATCACTGGCCCCAACTTTTTGTTTCATTATTTTAATTTCCCCATACTTTCAACCTATCAGCACTAAAGATAGGAAAATCTTGATACAACAAAATATTTTATTTTCTGTTTAGATTTTTAATACCCCAAAATAAGTATGCTATTGTAGTGCAAAAAAGTCCCGCTATAATTTAAGTGCAAACCCTAAGAGATTTTTTCTGTTACAAAAAAAGTGACTTTCTACGACAAGGAAATATATATATATATATATATATATATATATATATATATATATATATATATATATATATATATATATATATATATATATATATATATATATATATATGTATGTATGTATGTATATACAGTGAAATATGTCTAATCCGGATGTTGTGTATTCCGAAATCTTGCCTAATTCGATGTATACTTTAAGTCCTTTTAAGTAAATTCTTTTGTTTAAAATGTTGTCTAATCCGACCATCGGTGTCCGGTTTAGAAATGTTTTACTGTATATTGCATGTACGAAAAATGATTATATGTCCGATTAAAACACAGTTATGACCAAAAATGATTAAGACTTTCGTTCTTTTTTTTTAATTTTCAATATTTCTTGCACTACAAAAAAAATATATCAGTATGAAGGGTGGAGTTTTTTCTTCAAGAACGAAAGAGAATGATTATATCCACACTTTAATTTTCTTGCTGAAAGAAAAATACTTGAAAAAAGCATTTGCAGGAAAATTCTTTTCAATCCTTATTGCTTTTATTTTCCTTATGTTACTGAAACTAAATGTGCCATAGGTAAAATTGATATCACTTATTCAAGGACTAGATAATCTTTTAATTCCTAATTTCTAACAGTAAGTATATTGTTACATTATCATTAGTTTATATGATTCAGCACATTTCAAGGTTGAAGCATCGAAAGAAGATTGGTCAAAAGAAATTAATCTTTGTATTCTCTTCATTTGACATTCTATCTTTCTATCTTTCTTATTCATTTTTTAAACAAAAATTTCATTAAAAGATATATTATTGAAGGAGTATTTTTTGATTTAAAAGAGGTATCTATTTTTGAAAAGACGCATCTTTCTAACGAAAAAAATCTCTTATTGAAAAAATAAAGTCTCAGAAAGATGCATTGCTCTTTCTGTTTAAGATAAAGATTTCTTAACTTCTTTTTTTTTTGAGATATTTTTTGTACCCTAAAGTATCTTCCTGGGAAGTGTATCTTGTAGAAAAGAAATGGTTAAATTAGTTTTTCATAGAATGAAAGATAATATGAGGATTTCTTATAGCATGTATGATTAAATTAAAAGTTGAAGACTGGCAGTCAGACAAATAGCCAGAAACACCTTTATGTAAGAAGCAATCTATACATTTTATTTAAGATTTTTTAATGCATTTCAGTTGCTGGGAATAATAACACGTCACAACTTAACTCATGAGTACCTAGAAATGTGCAAAGAACAAAACGAAGAATCCACTAACGAATGATAACCTGCCAGGATTCTTAGAGCAAGCTCTGTCTTCACTTAGTAAAATATTGATACATCTCGTATCTTATGACTCTTATGATAAAGTACATTGTATACAGATTGCATGTATTCTGTGTAATGAACAAGTTAATGTTGTTTTTATTTATGAAATAAATTGCTTCACAGTGTATTCAATGCGTATAATTGTTTTTCTCAGTATGCATATTTAATGTATATTGCACCTGATAAACCTTCCCAGAAAACCCTATTTTAAATGTCCGAAAAATATTCAAATAATTTAAAAATATATCATTCTTTGAACTAGGAGATCGCTTTTGCATAGATTTTATGCTCCTGCCAAGAAATGGTTGGGGCATATAGTTGTACATGTACACCTTTTCGTTCGTTTTTCTGTCATTTAGTCATGATTAGATTTCTATACTTTTTTCTTTTTTGCCGAGCTTATAGATATGTATGTTTTCTTATAGTCACCGAAATCACTCAGGTAACCTATTGCTATCCGTTGTGTGTCAGTCAAAAACTTTTGAACATTTTCAGTCTCTTCTCTGGAACCACTGAACCAATTTCAGACAATTTTGGCTTATATCATCTCATTATAAAAGGGATCGAAAATTGTGAATCTCATGGTTCCTGTCTTCCCCTGGGCTCAGGGATGGGGCTAAAACCATCAAAATTAAACCAATCTTTAAAAATCTTCTTCAATAATCCTGGACACCAATCACTCAAACTGTTGACATAATTGTTATAAGCATGGAGCCCTCTACTAAAATTGTGAAATTCATGGCCCCAGGGTCAGTGGTTCTGGGATTAGGGAAGGGCTTTATTGATCACCTAATGAAAATGCATAAATTCTTTAAAAAGTTTCTTCCCCCCCCCCCGTATATTGTCCCCCAGACAAACAAAGTGCATGTTTATGACGAAATTATGAAATTCATGGCCCCAGGATCAGATGCTCTAGTGTTAAAGCGGTGTTCTATTAATCATACAGTGAAAATGCATTAATTCTTTGAAAGTCGTCTCTGCTCCTGGGTATTTAGCAGACAACTAGCATCTACAAAAAAATAAATTCATGGCCCCTGGGCCAGGGGCTCTGGTGTTAGGAGGGCAAGAGTCTATTGATTTCATGGTGAAAATGCATTAATTCTTGGAATATCTTCTTTTTCCCCTTGGTATTAAGCAAACAAACTAATAAGTGCACGACTGCCTGTTCGAAAGTTGTGAAGTTAATAGCCCCTGTGTTCTGGAGTTAGGCGTGGGTTCTAATGATCATACACTAGTGGTAAAAATGCTTAAATTCTTTAAAAAGCTTATCTCCCCCTGTATATTTAGCGAACAAAATAAGTGAATGGTTATGGTGCGCAAGGGTAGCTCTTTAAAAATTGTGAAATGAGAGGTGGAACTAAGCACCATGGTGGAATAAGCATTCCCTCTCCACCGGTCACACTCGCCGTACGCCCCTTGTCATGATCGGGTTAATGGAAAATCTGTAGGCAATTCAGTGCGAAAGTAATGGCCTAAGAATTTGTATGAAAAATGTCAGTCAAGATTCGACTTAAGGATTGATTGTATATACTAAAAAGATCATTGTATCGACCATAGAATTTGCGAAATATTGACTTTTGATTGTTGATATCCTTGTATCATCAACTGTCAATAGCTTGCCTCATTTCAGAAATTGCTTGCACTAAATATATTGCGTACACTTAAATATAAATTAAAAAGGGACTTGTTAATCAAAATATATCTTTCATTTGTTCGACCAGTTGTAGAATATGGGGATGTGGTATGGGATAATTGCACTGAAGAACAATCCAAATTACTGGAAAGTGTTCAGGTGGAAGCTGCAAGAATAATTACAGGTATTAGGTGCAATACATCAAAAACTAACCTCTATAATGAGTTGGGATGGGAAACCTTAAGTTCAAGAAGGGAAAAGCATAAGCTCACACTGATGTATAAAATCCTTAATAACCTTACCCCCGATTACATGTATAATATGCTCAAAGGATGTATGCCAATCCAGCATAATTATAATTTACGCAACCAAAACTCATATCGTATCCCAATCACTCGAACAGTGTCTTACTATAATAGTTTTGTACCATCCACAATATCCTTATGGAATAATTTACCTGATGATTGTAGAACTTCCCCTACATTGCAAAACTTCAAAAAAAGATTAACCTACACCAATCCCTACCAGAAAAATAAAGTTAAGTTGTACAATTATGGGAATAGAATTGAAAATATACTACATTGCCAGTTGGGAAATAAATGTAGTAACCTTAATGCTGATCTTTTTAAAGACCACCTTAATGATTCACCAAAATGTACAAATTGTGGACACCAAAAGATTCATTACATTTTTTCATGTATTGCCCACAATATGTTCTTCAAAGACAGATGCTGATTAAATATATGAATGAGAATGGCATACCAATTAATATAGATAATATACTATATGGTGCTGAATCCTTATGTTTAGAAGACAACTTTCCATTTTTTGATCATATACATACCTTTATAAGAAACTCAAAGAGGTTTTCACTGAAATCTTAGTTTATCATGATATGCTAGGAAGAATAATATCTCATTTTAGGTATGTTAAGGAAGTTTTTCCACTCTGAGTCAACTTTATTATGTTTTTTTTTTATGGTCTTTCTCTGTCTCTATTTACTCTCTCTCTCTCTCTCTCTCTCTCTCTCTCTCTTTCACCCTCTGTGGATTCACTTTATACATGTACCAATTAATGGTTTATTTTATATACTGCTTTTCAATGTTAAATGTACTTTGTTATGTTTTTTTTTCTCTTAATTTTACTCTCTCTTTCTCTGGATTCACCTTATATATGTACCAATTAATGATCTATTTTACATACTGTTTTCAATATTAAATGTACCAATAATTGTTATATGTACCTTGACCTATGGAGAGAACGATTATAGGCATTATGCCTGCTGTTCAATCCATTTCATTTGTAATGAATAAATATATTTTAAACTAAATTGCTTGCACGTAGAGCATTCTCTTGCGTGTCGAATGAACATTTCTTATGCGGGTGACTGTGGTATCTTGATATATAAATAAGGGAAGATGAAGTCATCACGTTTATCATAAAGTTTAGACTGAATATACAGTCTATCCTTGGGTCGTATTTTGACTGACATGCTTCATAACAATATTGTTATGTCATTGCTTTAACCTACTAGTACTTTTGACAACGATTACTCTGTTTACCTGATCAATACAGTGGGCTCATGTCAGTGTGACCGGTAGGGGATGCTTACTCTTCCTAGGCACTTGATCCCACTTCTATTGTCTCCAGAAGTCCATGTTTTTGTCCTGCTTACGTTAAGTACTGTAAATCACTTTTTATTCGCGAGACCTTTATTTTCACGTAATTACGCGAGACAGTGTGCTCGCAAAAATTTCATTCTCGTGTATATTAATATTTCTAAAGATTATATAGAGCAATAACCGCAACTCGTGAAAATTTTGTCTCGCTTATAAGGAGTAAATGACAATCTCGCTAAAATAAGTTGTTGCGAAAATTTAGTGATCTACAATATTATTTACAGGATTTATGAGATCAATCACAGTTCGTTATCATCACCATTTTTATTGCACATAGATTTTCAAATTACTGTTTATGATCTGATTTTAGATATGTCTTTTTATTTTGATGACATACATATCAAGTTAAAATTCTATGTCGATTGACCCATTTTCTGTGAACACTTTAACTTTTTCACTTTTTTAACTTTATTACTGTGCATGTACTTAATGAGCTGACTTTTGGCATGTCTCCTTATACTGATGACCAGATCAGATGTAAGTTTCATGTCGATTGACCTATTTACACAAAAAGGTTTTGCCCTTACAAAACTTTCTAAAATTTTATCAACTTTTTCGGACCTGTCTTTTCGATGCATGTGCTTGTAACTGATCGGGTGATTTTTCGATACTTAAATTGACGATTAACAAATTTAGTTCGAGTTTCTTGCTGATGGACCAATTCTCACTAAATATCTGACAATTACATCTTTAAAAAATTTAATTACTAGTATTCACTGTTTTCCGAATTTTCTTTTCTAATGTGCTAGTAGTAGATCATAAATCAATAAATCAAATGATTGGGTAAAAACTAAACTCAGCAATATGATAATCTTTTTTTGTTTATTTCCACTCACTATTGTTTTCACATCCTTGGACTTTATAAATATTCAAAACGTCAATGTTGGCAAGGGCTTTCTTGTCCAATTGACACAAATAGTTGCTTTGCCTTTCTGGTGCAGTTGTTTCTTTCATTGTCAATATTCAATCGTGATTTACTTTACCTGATTTTCTATATCTATCTTTTTTTTTATCTCTGAGAATAAATTTTTATTCCTATATCTTAGCTTTACAAAATATTAATTTTGTTCTTTTATGTCAACATTCAAATGGCTGTTTAGTATACATGTCGTTCTTGTGTGAGAGAAAAAAAACGTAATAAATCTGAACTTCGTGAGAGAAGCTGCATTTTGAATCCTTAGTAAGTGGGCTTATGTCAAGAATGAAGGATAGACAATTAAGTCATGTCCTAAAACTATAAAATAATTAATGTAAACTTAACCTTCATGCGTGGCAAAGCAAGACACTTGCAGAAACAATACCGATATTACATTATAAAATATTTCCCATTTCATTTCAGAAGTTCACAGGAAAAGCACAAAAAGACACTGTATTATACACGTGCAATGATTCCTAGGTCATTATTGTTGTAAACAGCAATTTTTGGAGTCATTATTGAGTTTAAAAGCCTTTTTACAAGCCAATCAAATTTGAGTATTCTCAATAGAGGTATAATAAAACAAGTAGTTTACCCAGCAATTAGAAATACTATACACGGACAGGATTAGCCTAACGTCAGTGTGTTATTATCAGAAAGTATAATTTGCCTATCTTAGATTTGTTTACCATAGTTTTTAGTTAATCATCCTACCTCAGAAAGAACTTAAGGGTGCATGCAAATGATCAGGTTTAGATCTATATATACTTTTAATGAGGGGGCAAATCAAATGGTCAGCCTTGCTGATGAATGTAATATATATGTATAATTAAAGCAATACTTTATCATGTTCGATTTTTTTTATCATGTTCGATTAATTTTGCAAAAATAAAAAAAAATATTACCTCATGCCTGATATTAACAACCCTTGTATAATTATTACTAACAACTGCACACTTCAATTCTTATAAAATGTTGCGGTAGAGCGCAAGCTCCGTGATCGGAAGGTCGAGGGTTCAAAGTCGATAAAAATGACCTAAGTCGATAAAAAAAAAATAGTTAGCAACTGTTCCTTCGCCGAGCTTTCGGCATTTTGAAGTAAAAGTTGCGGGTAGACCGAATCTCAGAGCTTCAATGACATTCTTGGGCTCTCTTTTCAAGAAAAAAAAAAGTATATCTTGACCAAAACCATTTAATTTTCCTTGACAGTTATCATTAATTTAGTTCCAAAATGAATCGTTTCAATTTTGTTTCTTAAATTAAAACACTATTTTACTGAAAAATATAAAAGTTCGACTTTAAATTTTGAAAGATGTCTTCATAGTTTTGCCCACAAAATAGGTATCCCTCAAAATTACTGGAAAAAATTGGGAAGTTATGACGATGACTGAAAATTGAGCAATAAATTTAGATAAATATGGACTCATATTTTTCTCTTTTTTTAAAATTTAAAGTGATATGGTCCGTAGTTTACTTTCAATAGACAGTGTATTTTTTCAAATTTAGTCAATTACGGTGATTCAGAAAATTGCAAAGAAAAAAATCATCTTTCCAAAAGAGAGAGAGAGAGAGGAGATATTAAGTGAATTGAATGCAGTTTGTAACCTCATAGCTAACATAAAAGAAATCAAAACAATGCGAAAACATGAAAACACCACTAAAATTAAAATTCGGGTATTTTGAAAGGAGATGGGTGAACAAGGCGTGCAGAATGCCTATATCTTCAGATATGTAAAAATCATATTCAATTTGTGAATTAAATATTTAGAGTAAAGTTTTCATTATTGAATATTATGAAATTATGATAAACAAAACTTTTCTGAGGAAAATTTTCCCGGCAAAAATTATTCTGTTATTAAAAAATAATTGTGGCATTCGTGGGGTTCGAACCCTAATCAATGAAAAATCCTGAGTTTCATTTTCCTTCGAGAATAACGCGCTAACCACTACGTTAGTACACAGCTCCTGATGAATAGTGGCATGTAAATCATGTTTGTGATATGACCCTTGACTAAATGGACTTCAAGTACTAGTATTTCTCAGAAGATGCAAATGTTGTGTGATAAAAGTGCATATTTAAGGTATAATGGGTCATGTTTGCCAGAAAATGTATATTTTCACACAAACTTTGAGGATAAACTTTTTTTAAAAAAATGGAGCGAAGACCCACTCATATTGAACAAGATGTGTTTGTGAAACACTGATGCCCCCGTATGGCAGGTTATGGCAAAGGTTAAAGTTTCTCAAATGCAAGTCAAAATCCAGGCCAAAAGATAAAAAATGTTAAAGAAGATGGGTGAACAAGGCGGGCGAAGTGCCTATAGTGCGACAAACATGAAGTGAAAAATAAAATCTCAATTATATAAAAATTTTCTTTGATATTTCATCTAACATTAAAGTATATTTTATGCTAAATCTCTACAATTTACAAAAATCTCACAAAGACTGAAATTATTTGCCTACGAAATAGCATACACACACTAAAGAGGACAAAAAGGATCATTTTCTCATACTTTAACAAAATTTTTCGATATGAGTGGGTCTTCGCTCCATTTTTTTGAAAGTTGATCCTAAAAGTTTGCATAAAAATATACATTTTTTGGATTACAAAAACATGGAGCAAAGACCCACTATACCTTAAAAGTACACTTTTATGACAAAGTATTCGCATCTTTCCGAGAAATACTTGAAGTCCATTAAGTCAAGGGTCATAGCACAAACATGATTTAAATGCCAATATTCGTCAGGAGCTCCGTGGCGTAGTGGTTAGCGTGTTAGTCTCAAAACAATATGATACTCCGGATTTTTATTGATAGGGGTTCGAATCCCACGAATACCATTTTATTTTTTTAATAAAAGAATAATTTTTTCCGTGATCTTTTTTCTCAGAAAAGTTTTGTTGATCATAATTTCATAAATTTCAATAATAAGAACTTATTTTAAATACTTAATTCACAAACTGAATATGATTTTATTAATATCTGAAGTTATAGGCATTCTGCACGCCTTGTTCACCCATCTTCTTTGAAAGCCCTAGCTGCAACTGTTCAAAAGTTATGGCGAAGGTTAAAGTTTTTTAAAAGTAAGTAAAACATCAAGGTCAAGGTCAAAGTTGTTGGTATCCAAAGGAAGGTCTTGTCACAAGGATTACATATGTAAAGTATGAAAGCCCTAGCTCTAACCGTTCAAAAAATATGGCCAAGGTTAAAGTTTTTCGAAGTAGGTCAAACTCCTAGGTCAAGGTCAAAGGGTCAAAGTGGTTGGTATCCAAAGGAAGGTCTTGTCACAAGGATTACATATGTGAAGTATGAAAGCCCTAGCACCAACCATTCAAAAATTACTGCCAAGGTTAAAGTTTTTCTCAAGTAGGTCAAACTCCTATGTCAAGGTCAAAGAGTCAAAGTGGTTGGTATTCAAAGGAAGGTGATGTCACAAGGATTACATAATTTTGTGAAGTATGAAAGCCCTAGCATCAACCATTTAAAGTTATGGCCAAGGTTAAAGTTTTTCAAAAGTAGAACAAACTCCTAGGTCAAGGTCAAAAGGTCAAAGTGGTTGGTATCCAAAGTTAGGTCTTGTCACAAGGATTACATATGTGAAGTATGAAAGCCCTAGCTCTAATTGTCCAAAAAATATAGCCAAGGTTAAAGTTTTTCAAAAGTAGGTCAAACTCCTAGGTCAAGCTCAAAGGGTCAAAGTGGTTGGTATCCAAATGAAAGTTCTTGTCACAAGGATTAAATATGTGAAGTATGAAAGCCCTAGCTCTAACCGTTCAAAAGTTATGGCCAAGGTTAAAGTTTTTCAAAAGTAGGTCAAACTCCTAGGTCAAGGTCAAAGGGTCAAAGAGGTTGATATCCAGAGGAAGGCCTTGTCACAAGGAATACACATGTGAAGTTTGAAACCCCAAGCACCACTTGTTCAAAAGTTATGGCCAAGGTTAAAGTCTCATAAAATTTTGCAAAAGTGGGTCAAACTCCAAGGTCAAGGTCAAAAGGTCAAATATGATGGTACTCAAAGAAAGGTCTTGTCACAAGGAATACACATGTGAAATATGAAAGTCATAGCTCCAACCAATCAAAAGTTATGGGCAAGGTTAAAGTTGACAACAGACAGACAGACAAACAGATAAACAGACAAACAAACAGATAAACAGACAGACAGACAGACAGGACAAAAACAATATACCCCCGGGATCTTTCGATCCGGGGGCATAAAAATTGTGTTATGGTACGAGAAAATGATCCTTTTTGCCCTGTGTAGTGTGTGTATGCTATTTCATAGGCAAATAATTTCAATATTTGTGAGATTTTTGCAAATTGTGGAGATTTAACATAAAGAATGCTTTAATGTAAGATGAAAATATCAAAGAAAATTTTGTTAAAATTGAGATTTAATTTTTCACCTTCGCATATAGTCACTTCGCTGACCTTGTTCACCCATCTTCTTTATCAAACACAAAACATGAAATATTTCACAAAACAAATTGATATTTATTGATAGACTTTCATTACACAATTCCAACATCAGGACAGCATTAGAATAAACAGGCTATTGAGTTCTGGACATAGGCAAGATTGTGCAGTCTTTACAGAGATTTCTTTTCTTGTTGATATTTCAAAAATCCCACCTGTCAAAAAAAAACATATATCTAGATGACAACTATATCTGCTATATATAACTATATCAAAGGTCTTTTTCAGAATAAAACTCAAAAGCTAATTTGGATATAAATCTATGTATATAAAGCTTAAAATATTAAAAAGGATTTTCAGCTCACATTAAATTTGTCATGTTGTCTGCATTTTAAAGGTAAGCATTTCGCATTATCAATCAGTATTTTTAAGAGAGTCAGGCAGCTTGAGTAGGGGAGAGAAATCATATGAACAGAGTTATCTTTCTTCCAGGAATTTCGCTCCTCTTGTCTGCTGTAATAGAAACAAAGGGTTTGTATCTCAGTTCCTTCGTAGTGTTCTGAATACACACTATAAAATCAGATCTTTTAATATGAACATGCTGCTCATAAATATATTTTGGCAGATCTCATATTGAAGGATGAATATTTTTTCCTGTTATCAATATTTAAAATAATACTGTACTTATTTCCAGGTGTCAGTAGAACTCTGAACAAAACTTTTACAACATCGACTGGGATGAGGTTTTCTACCGTTGTGGAGTGAGAACTTCCATAAAATATCATTAGCTTGGGGTCTATTATCCATATCTACATTAAAAATGAAAAAAATCAAGATAAACATTGTCTTAAAATGAAAAATTATTTTAAAAATCAGAGCTGGTCATGCGTAAAGATAATACTACATTAAACAAAATCAAAATCCATACAGTTACTTACCAAACAGTCAAACTCTTTCCCATCAGTAGAAGAATTAAGATAAAGCCTGAAACTTGTATAAAGCCTGCTATTTTCCATAAGAAGATTTGCAAACATACCCTCCACTTCG